TTAGTTTTAACTTTGAACCCACATATTGGGTTCTTATACCCCATGATTTATGACTGAGAATAGTTGTATGATTCAAGCCAATTGTGGATATTCAACAAATGTGGTTATGCAAATCATGATTGGTTTGATTATGATTTGCGTGACTACTCAAGATACTTGGCCATAAATGCAAGGGTTGGTCACAAAGCTGTTTTTCCCCCAAATATTGTAATTTCAGACAGTCACTAAACAAGGCAGTCAGTAAGTGAGGACCATCTGTATGTCATAATTCTCTTAAATTTCACAAAATTGAATTTCATTGGATGACTCCAAGTTCTAGTATTAAGCAACACACAGGGAGGAAAGCCTGTTCACTTTCTAAGGGATATACTTGTCCATAATAATGCCATTTTAAGTATGTAAGATAAACATACTGTACTTGTTCTATAAAGATTGTTATAGAAGACATACCAGGCAAGAAGAATGTTAATCTGCCAAGCAATATGCTCATCAGTTTTAACAGGGAGCCTACAAAAGTAAAAACTAATATTTATGTATTATGTTAAACCTGGAATCTTGATTTCATAAATCACCATAACAACAACCAGTTAATTTTTCACTTTGTTAACCCTGCATAAACAACTCAGAAAGGACAGTTCTGCATTATGCCTGGACTTTCAGATTGATGTATGAGATCTGATATGTTTACAAATACTTAATCCCTTAATCCAGGATTCAAACCTAACACAGAATTATCCTCCCCAGATAATTTCCTACTGAAAAGGAGAAGTAAGCAGTTTGTTCATTCACATTGTGGATTTTCAGCTTAACATGAAATTCAGGCATCGTATTACAGCTACGGCAAAAGAATCAGGCCAGGCAACTGAGAGTGAGCATAACTTGGCCATCACTTGAAAAATAGTTAAACGGCTAAGAATGCTGCAGCTTTGATGATTCTTTTCTTTCCTATATTCCTGCCCAGTAATAGAAGAAATGGAAATAGACTGGCAAATAAAATCAGTATTGGACTCTAGAGACAAAGATAAATGCACTGTAGAAATAAAAAAGATGGATGCAAGGCTGATCTCTAATCATCCAAACGTGTTCAGGCGCTCCAACTTCCATTTATGAGCATTTGCTCTCTGCTGAAATTGTAATTGTTTCCATCTCAATTTATTATTGAGATAATAGAAGCCTTGGGTTTCTTTCATTGTCATAAAAATAAATGACTTCTATTGCCATTTCTGAATGTCCAAGGACACCCTGTGAGGTCCTCTCTTAGAAGATGCATTTTCCACCAATAAAAGACAACTTGTATTTCCGCCAATATGAATTGGAGATCTTCTGCCTAAATTGGCTAAGTGCAGAGATATCATCAACATCTTTCTGTCAAGGTAATAATGGAAAATGGTTTTCTTGCCAATTGGAGAAGCATTTGAAAGAGGTGCAGAAATTCTGTACTAGGTGACTTTTCATACCATCCTTCCACCCACCATTTGGTCATGATAAGAGGAGACCCTACTAACACATTAGTACATTGCCCTGATGAAAGGTATTTTAACACTTTATCCTCTGCCTTTAGGGTAGAGCAAAACTATTACCAAATTGTATTTTCTGATATGATAGATGGAGGAAATTATTCAAAGTATTACTGAAATGGGAATCCACATTAAATACATTACATTTTAATGGAAATAAAACTAAAGAAAAATTGGGCATCATTCCACGCTCTACCTTTGGAATGGAATAATTCACTAGGGCCAATTTGCCCCTACCTGAGCTGGCCAACTCGCCGCAGGGTAACACACAGGGCCAACTCATTGCAAGGACAACTCGCCACAGGCGACTGGGGGGAGACCTGGGCAGGCAGGCGAGTGAGCGGGTGGGCAGAGTCCAGAGCGTATAGGGATGTGGGGGCGGGGAGGCAGCGGTTGCCAGGGTTTCCCATTTTCACACCCCTCCATCTGAGCCCGGTATGGCAGGGATAGCAGTGGTTCTAAGCCCAGTGAGGCGATGGTGGTAGTGGTTCCAAGCCTGGAGTGGCGGCAGCAGGGGTGTGAAAATGGGAACTCCCTGGCTGCTGCCGCCTCCCTGCCACCCGCCTGCTGGACTCTGCTCTCTGCATTCTGCCCATCCGCTCACTTGCCCGCCTGCCTAGCTCTTCCTCTGGCTGGCTGTGGCCTGTGATCTCACTGCAGTGAGTTGGTCATGTGGAGTTGTCTTGCGGTGAGTTGGCAGAGGCGAGTTGGCGTGGTAAACTGGCAGCAGTGAGTTGGCCCCATCCAGTTGGCCAAGGGGAGTTGTCCTATACCCTTCTACTTTTTGGAGAATACATCTCAACAGGCCATTCAAAGGCCCGTAGCATAATTCACAAATCCTCTAGGAGTGTTTTCATTAAAAACTATTTGAAAACCCATTCATCTTAGGGCAGACATGTCAAACATAAGGCCCGGGGGCCAGATGCAGCCCGCAAAGTGGTTTCATGTGGCCCGTGAAGCCATCCTGGAAATAGTGAGGGAACGGCCCCCGCTGCCTTGGCCCTGGCCCAAGCCAGCTGGGAGCCACTGTACTATTTTGTGGTGGCCATCTATGCTGAAACGCATTCAGTCTTAGCTCCACAAGGCAGTCTAGAAACAGCGAGGAACCAGCACCTGCCGCGTCGGCCCCACCCCCTGGGTGCATGCTGGGGAGATGTCACCCTTTGTGAAGAATGAAGAAATGGAATTGGTGCTTGCCCCGGTCCCACCCCCTCCTGCCAGACACCCTCAGATCTGTCCCACTCCTGCCCAGGCCCCGACAGGCACCCTTGACGTGAACAACGTAGGCCATGCCCACTCAGTAGGCCACATCCACTCCATCCACGTCCACCCAGTAGGCTGCACCCACCCTGACCACACACCCCCGGCCCCCCCGAATGCAACCACAATGCTGATGTGGCCCTCAATGAAACTGAGTTTGACACCCCTGTCTTAGGGCATAAACAAAGGAACGATCTGGATTTCCTTAGGGGGCTTCTCACTGAATTCCTAATTAAGAGAAACAGCTCCAGAAATAGCCTACACAAGGTGAGACAGAATACTGGAAACCACACACTCCGTATTAGTGTCACATATCACAGACTCAGTATGATGCAAGGGAAGCTTCAAAGAAGAAGGGAGGGAGGGAGGGAGGGAGGGAGAGAGAGACCAAGACCAAACTGGCACTTATCTTTCTGTCCCCGTATAATTGTAGCTTTACAGCACAGCAAGCATTCATATACCCATGAAAGTGAATCTGCCTAATTAATTGGGGGGAGACACCCAGCACTACACATTTTGTTATATCATGTTTGTAGGGGGTCAATTTCCCTATCAGATTATTTATACAAAATTTCACTTTGAATTAGCTGGTGTTTCCCATTACAAGGCTCCTCCATGAAACCCTAACTAAAAGATACTTCTGATTCCACCTTCAGGTATGTAAATACATACTTATGAATTCTGGTTTTCTAAACATTCCAGTGCTTCTGAGATGAATTCAGGATTAAATCCCACTGAATTCAACAAAGTATACTTCTCAGTAGACATGTAGAAAAATAGCATCCATAGTATGTTCTTGTCCAGCCATATTATGGAAAGGTTCCTTTACAAATAGATCAAAGCAATATATTGATTGAGTTTGCCTAGGTTATGTTAAACTTACATTTAACTATGTCATATAAAGACATAGCAATTGTGGATATTGTTTTTATGTGGGTTCATTTTAAGTGTTATGTGTTATGAATTTCTAATCCACATTATTTTTTTATTTTGTTTGCTTGTTGTTTGTTAATTTGCTTATTACTTTTATTAAAATATTTGTAAATAAAATATTGCAAAAATATAATTTTTACAACTAATTCAAGGAGGTGGACCTTTTTCCTTCTATTTTACTTATGACAACAGTTCTTTGAGGTAGGTTGGGGGGGAGGAAGGGATGGAGGGGGGGAGGGAGGGATGGAGGGAGGGGAGAGAAAGGGAGGAGGGGGAGGGAGGGGGAGGGAGAGGGGGAGGGAGGGAGGGAGAGAGAGACCAAGACCAAACTGGCACTTATGATTCAATAATAACATACAAGTGTTTGTTACAAGCAGTGTAACAATATCATACAAGCAGTGTTCCGATATCTCAGAAGTTACCACAAGGAAGAGGAAGTCAGGCTATTCTCTAAAGCACCTGAAGGCAGGATAAGAAGCAATGGATGGAAATTAATAAAGAGAGAAGCAACCTAGAACTAAGAGAAATTTCCTGACAGTTAGAACAATTAATCAGTGGAACAACCTGCCTTCAGAAGTTGTGAATGCTCCAACACTGGAAGTTTTTAAGAAGAGACTGGACAGTCATTTGTCTGAAATGGTATAGGGTTTCCTGCCTGAGCAGGAGGTTGGACTAGATGACCTCCAAGGTCCCTTGTTGTTGTTGTTATTCCATGAAAACAGATTTTCAGAGTCCACGTTAACCATGTTTTGCGGTCTCAGCATATAAATCATTTGTCCACACAATAAAAATGAGACTTTAAAATCCAGGCTGGGATAACAAAGTCACCTTATTGTTGCCAAGTGATTCTAAAATATTACATGACAATATAGATGCTATTTAATTGATACATGTACATTCATTGCATTTTTCGGAGGTTTGCCAACTAATTTAAAAAGAAGCAAGATGCAGGAAAGCAATATTACACTAGCACGGTAGACTAATTTGTCACCACAACTATCAGTGCCACACTATATATAGTACAGCACAGAGCTCTTGGATTGTCCTTTATAAAACAGCTGTAATGCTGAAAAACGTTTTATCTCTCAACAGTAAACACTAGCAAACCTGGGTTAGGGAACGAATCAGTAGGCATGTAGAACATAGCCAATCATCTAGCTCTTTAATCCGCAACAAGGATATATAAATGCAAACTACATGGCACGATTGCATTTTTTTTCCTCACTGCAAATTGTATTTACCTGTCTGTTGATTTGCTTTAACAACTGTTGGTAGTTTCAATGCACTCACCTTCTCCAAAGAAGTCCGGTACTTGTAGTTAGAACTGTTGTTCCTGCAAAAGCTACCATCATAAGCCTGCGCCGGCTTTGGGGATAACGAGTATTACCAAAATGGCGCCTGGAAGTGACAGCTAAGGCCGCCATAGTAGGGAGGAGACCAAATCGCAACATTCTGGGAAAGGAAATAAAGAAAAGAATAAGAATAAAAACATCAGAGCAGCTTAGGTTTTGAGACCACTTTTGACTTTTTGTTTGAGGAAGATAAAAACGATGTTTTGGTTTTAGGATTTGATGATTAGATTTGTTACGACTGTAGGTTGCCCTCAACTTACGACCATAACTGAGCCCAAAATTTCTGTTGCTACACAAGGCAATTGTTAAATAAGTTTTGCTCCAATTTACAACAGGGTGGATTTGATTTAAATCAAGTCGATTTAAATAATGATTTAAATCATGATTTAAATCACTAATAAAAAGGCTTGATTTAAATCAACTCCATTTAAATCATAATTTTTAAAGAGCAACTGTCAACTCTGTCATGCAGTGGCTCCTCCTCTGACTTGCTGTTGACTCACTGACGGTCCCATTCACTTTAATGGGACGGCTGGTGATGCGGCAGTGACATGACAAGGTGAGGGACATGACGGGCAGCAAGTGAGTGGATGCCCGCTAACAGGCGCTGCCATGATGGATCTGAAATGACAGGTGCTCTTTAAATGTAAGGACTCATTCTTGCTGGTAGTTAGAATCTTTAATATTATTATTTGCAAACAAAATGAAGGTTTCCTATTTAGAATAATAAGTCATCAAGTTAGTAAAACAGCGATATCAGAACTGATTTTAGGTTAATAGGTTAATCACACATACCTTGTTTTCCCCAAAATTAGACCTACCCTGAAAATAAGACCTACCCTGATTTTTGGGAGTGGGCCTAATATAAGCCCTATTCCCAAAATAAGCACTAGTTAGGACCCTGCCCACTCCGTCCCACCTTATTGCCGCAACGGGCAGGAGAGCACGTGTCATGCCACTGCAACAACGAGGCAAGGCAAGTGGGGGAGGGGGTAGAGCTTCCCCACATGCCCCACACCTGCTTACTACAGCCCCCCCCCAGTCAGGTCATTCCTTGCTCAGCAACCTTCCCTTTCACTCCCCTCCCGAGCCAGACTACTATGCTACGGAGGATGGGCGGGATAGGAGGATGGGGGGGAGAATGATGGTGAAAGACTCCACTGCTGCTGTTCATTTTGCCCCACAGATCTCCTGCCCGGCGGCAGCCACCGCCTCTTACTCCACAACTCTCCAATGGCTTGCACTGTGACCGGGCAGTGCAAGCCTCCCCTGCCACCTCCCTCCGCCAGCCCTCCGTCGCCGCCACTGGAAAGAATGGAGAGAGGAACAGCTCTGTGCAGTATCCCTATGATCACATGATCAAAATTCAGACGCTTGGCAACTAGCATGTGCGAAAAGTGGTCATAAGTCACCTTTTTCAGTGCTGTTGTAACTTTGAATGGTCACTAAATGAATGATTGTAAGTCAAGGACTACCTGTACAAACATACTGAGTACTTTTATTGTTATTACTAGATTTGTATATTTTATATTTTTAAGGTTTATGTTTAAACTTAGAGTAAGTGGTTATTTTGTACAGAATTTTAGTGTTTTGTGGATTGTGTAGTATATATACTCTTTATATCAGCGCTCAACCTGTGGGTCGCGACCCCATTTGGGGTCGAACAACCACTTCACGGGGGTCGCCAAACAACGCGATCCGCCATTTTTTTCCGCCATTTCCCCCCCTTTTCCTTAGTTCTGCTACTCCCTCTTATTCTATTGGCTTTCAAAAGCCAATAGAATATACTTCCTTGAACAGAGTCTAATTCTATTGGCTTTCAAAAGCCAATAGGAATTGTCCAGGGCTGTCTCTGCCCTGCTGAGCCTGCCAAAAGCCCCAGTCTGCAAATGGTGCTGCAAGGGGAACAGTCTGCAGAGCTTCCCTCCCTGCGAGCAACTAAAAAGTAAGTAAAAGAGGGCCGGGGGTGGGAGGTGGGAGGCCGTTGGGTGCAGGGAGGGTTGCTGGCACGCGTGGGGCCGGCAGGTGCCTTACCTACCTTGGGCTGGGCCAGCTGATGGCCCAGCCGGTGGTCGCCCTGCCTGCTGCGGCCGCCCGGGAGCGCCTGGGCCTGCCTGCCGTCGCCCCTTGCTGGCTATGCCTCAGCCGGCGCAGGGGGCGGCACCACGCATGCGCGGCATTCCCGGGCCCGTAGTCCTCGACTTACGACCGGGGTCGGGGCTATAAAAAGGTTGAGAACCACTGCTTTATATGATACTTTTGTTTTAATTTAGAATAACAAGTTATTTTATGATATATTTGTATCTGTAGTGAAGATAGTTGGAAGTCACTGTTTTTATATCCCTTCTCCCATTTTTTGGGTCTCTTTTTAACTTTCACCTTCTTTTTAATCTTTTTTGTTGTTGTTTTGCACTTTATTTTTCCTCTGAAACTTAACAAAGTTGGTTAAAAAGAAAAGGCAGCTTAAGTATTAAACTGTGCAAATCAGGGGCCTTTGAAGAAACTAAAAGGCTGCAGTGTGTTCATTTCCTTTTTAATCTTCTAGCTAGCAGAATAAAATAAAAAAACCAATAACACTAGCTAGCTTGGTAGGCTTCACAATTTACCAATGAACTTCCTAAAACCTATCAGAATTTCTACTCTAGTTCAGGGATAATCAGCTTGTCGGCAGCCAAGCAATTAAAAGCTGAACTCTGGGTCACAGAAGTTATCATCAAATGGGGATGTGAAGTGAATAGATGCACAGTTAGTCAATCTGGGGCTGGTGACTTGGATATAAATTTCAACTGGAGGGTGGCCAAAATATAGATGAAGGTAGCACCAGTTTGTAGACTAGTCCAAAAGTGGATAAGCCAAGAAGAAAAGGAGCCAGAAGACACTCTAGCAGGCCACTGGGAGACAGCAGGAGAAAAGTCAAGATTCCTAGGTTTGGTTGCACAAAATTCCACTTTGGGCTTAGGGCTGATGAGCTTAAAAGGGAAGACTATGCATCACCTCAATCTGCAGTCTAGAATGCTTTGGTTTGATTCTTGGGAATCCAATATGTAGCCTGATGCTTTTTAGATGTACTAGGTTACACATCAGTCCCAGCCAGAATACAGTATCCAGAGAAGCTCTAGTAGTTAAGGAGATCCTGTTTCAAGTCTACAGTACTTTCAGTCATGGAAACTCATTAGGTGATTCTGAGTCACACACTTTCCTTTAAAAATCTCATAGGGCTGTTGGTATGACTAATAAAATGAAGGGAGATCCCCAGGTAACCTAACAATAAAACTAATCCAATCAACAAAATTTCCAGTCCAAAATATCTGGAGGGCATCAGTTTATGGAAAGATGCATTAGCTTACATTGTGAAAGTAGTCACTGACATGGAACCAAACCCTACCCAGCGTTTGCATCATAACTCAACTACTGCAGTCATGTAAAGTTAGTGCAAGTCTCTTCCCCAAATTACAAGTGCGTATGTTTATACAATTTGTGTAAAACCTAACAAAAATATAACAAATATAAACAGTGACCAGTAGTTATGGAAATAATAACCTAAATAATCTACCATTAATTTTTTATTTCAAGATTAAGAGAGTTAGAGAAACAGATGTAGCACTATAAAGTCTTCATAGGAATCTCAACAAGCACAAGCTGAAACCTTCCAGACTCTTTTCCCTCCTTGTGTGTGTGTGTGTGTGTATGTGTAGAATTTCTCTCCCTGATGTACCTGTTTAGACTCCCAAATCATATTTTCTTCTGCATATTATACAAATGGAAATATAGTTTAGGAAATTTTGCTAGGTAAGAAAAGTGCAATTTAGTGTAGTTGCCTTCTCTAGAGAGTGTAAAAATAGTAATGTTGCCTAACATTCTATAGAGTATTCATTAGTAATTAAGATGTTCTTTTAATAAAAGCTCATATTTCCTAGTCAACAAAATGCGGTTTACTGGCCAGATTATTATAGAAAGAAAAGTGTAAAGCTGGCTACTGAAATAAATAGTATTTAAACATGAACTCTTTAAAATGGAAACATCATCTCTAAATACAAACAACAATCTATTTCAGAGGTACCCCTGGGAATTGCAAAAATGGAAACAATTCATATAAGAATGACTTCAATTTGCAAATGGTTTGAGGCTGTTTGCTCTGTCTTGCTTTTTAGATGTTATCTCTTCAACAACACAGCTTCCAGATAACATATGCCATTATTTTATATAGAAACCTACGAAATAATTTTAATGATTTGTGGCATGAAACCTCCTTTTACAGAACTCAAGAGGTTTTGCCATCATTTCAAGATGAAATAAATCCATCAATCCAACTTCAACACGAACATAACTCTTTAGATCAGAAAGTAAGGCTGGACTGCAGAATATATAATCACTTTTTCCAATTTCCCCTTTATAATTAACATAATAGGAAGAACTGGACTAAGATTATAATTAATATTAGATTATTATTTAGCTGATGCAGGCTAATTAAAGTAAATTGAGGTTTCCAAAATTTTCCATTGTTGTCCCATGTTATTTTTCCACCTAAGCATGAATTACAATGGCTAGCTTTGGTATCAGTGTGCTGTTATACTACAGCTGAAGACGAAATAGGGAAAGGAATTAGCGCAAGGAGGATGGGAAAGGAGAATGCAAGTCTAACAGGAATTCTCAAACTGTTATTTAATGCTGAGTTGAACATACACATAATTTAAAATATTCATTAAGTTCCTGATAGAAATCTAAAAAAGAAAAGAAAAAAATGCCGGAAGGGGCATTGTCTTACCTGAACACCTTTTCTCAGCATGAGGAATGTAGAATCCACAAATGGGTTGATTTAGTCTTCTAGCCCAATCAGACCAAACAATCAAAGTTGCCACGCCTCTGCAGGGTCTGACTATGCCCCAGTTTCGAAAGGGCGAAGCAAATGATTGTGTGACGTGATGGCTCCGAACTGCTGACACTAACCTAACTGCTAGTAATGATCAGGGAGGGGGTGGATTCTACATTCCTCATGCTGAGAAAAGGCGTTCAGGTAAGACAATGCCCCTTCTCCAGCATGTAGAGGAATGTAGAATCCACGAATGGGACATACCAAAGCCCCTATGATCCCACGGGTGG